AAATTATTCATAAAAAAATGATGCAATAATTTAACTAATAAGAATAATGCCTATACAATTGAATGAAATCGTTACCGATATATGTTATCTCCCAAACCCTTAACAATACTAATAATCTATGTAAACCGTCGAAAGTTGTATAAAAGCCCTCGTACAGTCTTCCTGTGCACATAATAAAATATTTATTTTTTTTTTTCAACCAATAACAGTTATATCTTTTCAAATTGCCTGTCCAATTAGTGCTGCTTGGGTATTGATTTATTATTATAATTTTACAATTCAATGAACCTATCTAACTCATAACTGTGAAACACATGCCTAATTTCAGAATAAATTATATTGTAGGTGCTTCCATATATATTTTTAAATCAAACAGTAATTTGCTCATTTACATAGAACTGATTAAAGTGGATTAATATTTAATTAACTAATAAGAAATGTAATTTCATTCGGTGAAGTGTGCCAGGTGCCAATTCAAACACTCATTTTTTATAATTTTCTAACTGATTAAATTATATTTTTTTAAAATACTCCTATAAAAATCTATTAATATATCAAACAAAAAACAACAACTACAGCATCAACGAAATTATTCAATTGTCTCCAAACTAGATTCGGCGGTGCAAAGCGACATACATGGAACTCAAAAACACATTACGATTATTAACGGTTGTTTGTATTTTTATTAGTTGTCTTGAAATTGTTTTTAATAAATTTGTTATTGAATATACGTATTGCTGCGTAGTATGTTTGTTTGTGTGTGTGTACACAAACAGATGTGTGGACATGGGCCACTGTCTTGCAAACATTTTAAGATGTGCTTAGAAATAATCTAATATGCGATAGCAGAACAAACATTGTACGTACGTACATTATTACAAAGTTCATGATCAAGGTCGTTAATTTGTTTACAAGTAAATATTTATATGTATGTATATGATGTGTGAAATGTAATTGACAATAGTTTAAGTTGGGTATCGCAACGTTTTCCATACAAAAAAAAACAATTTTCAATTTGCGGAGATTAGTTTAAAACGCAAGTGATTTTTTATTTCTTTGCCACTACTAAGTTTGAATTTTATGTGAGGCACACTTAATCTTTATGAGATAAGAAATTTTTAATGGTGTTTTAATAAAATTTAATACATCTGAAGACCACATGTGGTCTTACCCCAATGGTGATTATACAAATAATCTATCCCATGGGACATTAAAGCGAAATTTGATTTCCTTGGGACACCACCAGGAGATCAATGATTATAGATCAGAATTTCTCAGAGACAATAAAATTATATTCTCTTCTGTAGAAGATCGGACATTCATTCTATGCACAGCCCATCTTCTGTTCTTCAGAAGAAATATTCTGTTGATGACCTTCTATTAGAATACATTCTTTCATGTTATTCTATTCTATAGAAATAAGGTCGTATATTTTACAGAATACCGGTCTCGATTCCATAGAAGACCAGCACTTTTCTATTCTATAAAAATCGGACTCTTCTATTGAAGATCAATTCTTGTATAGTAATGATTGAAGAACAGCTATTATATTCTGTTGAAGATCAATCTTTTATTTCATACTGTTCTACAGAAGACAATTCATACTTTTATGTAGAAAATCAGCCCTTCTATTCTATAAAAGACCAACTCTTCTAAAAAGAGCGTTTCTTATATACCATACAAGATTATATTCCAAAAAAGCCCACCTCTTCAATACCATAGAAGATCGGCCCTATATGCTACAGAAGACGTGTCATCTATTCTATAGAAAATATTTCTTGCATTTCACATAGCAAATTGGTTTTACATGTCATAGAAGACTTGTCTACAATTCCAGAAAAAAATCGGGTTTCTTTAAATGGAAGATCGGTATTTTATACCACTGAAATCTGTCATATATTTTAGAGAATATCTGTCTATTCCATAAAAGATCGCACTTTCATCCTTTAGGATCCATCTTGTTTTCTATAAAAGATCGCTCTATTGTCTTCTTGGAAATTTTTTTTGAATTTTTTTTCTTTAAAAAATCCACACATTGAATTTTTTTTCTTTAAAAAATCCACACATTGAAATTTTTTTCTTTAAAAAATCCACACATTGAAATTTTTTTCTTTAAAAAATCCACACATTGAAATTTTTGTCTTTAAAAAATCCACACATTGAAATTTTTTTCTTTAAAAAATCCACGCCTGTTTTGGGTACTTGAAAATTTTTCTTTAAAAAATCCACGCCTATTTTGGGTACTTGAAAATTTTTCTTTAAAAAATCCACGCCTATTTTGGGTACTTGAAAATTTTTCTTTAAAAAATCCACGCCTGTTTTGGGTACTTGAAAATTTTTCTTTAAAAAATCCACGCCTATTTTGGGTACTTGAAAATTTTTCTTTAAAAAATCCACGCCTGTTTTGGGTATTTGAAAATTTTTCTTTAAAAAATCCACGCCTGTTTTGGGTATTTGAAAATTTTTCTTTAAAAAATCCACGCCTGTTTTGGGTACTTGAAAATTTTTCTTTAAAAAATCCACGCCTGTTTTGGGTACTTGAAAATTTTTCTTTAAAAAATCCACGCCTATTTTGGGTACTTGAAAATTTTTCTTTAAAAAATCCACGCCTATTTTGGGTACTTGAAAATTTTTCTTTAAAAAATCCACGCCTGTTTTGGGTACTTGAAATTTTTCTTTAAAAAATCCACGCCTGTTTTGGGTACTTGAAAATTTTTCTTTAAAAAATCCACGCCTGTTTTGGGTACTTGAAAATTTTTCTTTAAAAAATCCACGCCTGTTTTGGGTACTTGAAAATTTTTCTTTAAAAAATCCACGCCTGTTTTGGGTACTTGAAAATTTTTCTTTAAAAAATCCACGCCTGTTTTGGGTACTTGAAAATTTTTCTTTAAAAAATCCACGCCTGTTTTGGGTACTTGAAAATTTTTCTTTAAAAAATCCACGCCTGTTTTGGGTACTTGAAAATTTTTCTTTAAAAAATCCACGCCTGTTTTGGGTACTTGAAAATTTTTCTTTAAAAAATCCACGCCTGTTTTGGGTACTTGAAAATTTTTCTTTAAAAAATCCACGCCTGTTTTGGGTACTTGAAAATTTTTCATTAAAAAATCCACGCCTGTTTTGGGTACTTGAAAATTTTTCTTTAAAAAATCCACGCCTGTTTTGGGTACTTGAAAATTTTTCTTTAAAAAATCCACGCCTGTTTTGGGTACTTGAAAATTTTTCTTTAAAAAATCCACGCCTGTTTTGGGTACTTGAAAATTTTTCTTTAAAAAATCCACGCCTGTTTTGGGTACTTGAAAATTTTTCTTTAAAAAATCCACGCCTGTTTTGGGTACTTGAAAATTTTTCTTTAAAAAATCCACGCCTGTTTTGGGTACTTGAAAATTTTTCTTTAAAAAATCCACGCCTGTTTTGGGTACTTGAACATTTTTCTTTAAAAAATCCACGCCTGTTTTGGGTACTTGAAAATTTTTCTTTAAAAAATCCACGCCTGTTTTGGGTACTTGAAAATTTTTCTTTAAAAAATCCACGCCTGTTTTGGGTACTTGAAAATTTTTCTTTAAAAAATCCACGCCTGTTTTGGGTACTTGAAAATTTTTCTTTAAAAAATCCACGCCTGTTTTGGGTACTTGAAAAATTTTCTTTAAAAAATCCACGCCTGTTTTGGGTACTTGAAATTTTTTCTTTAAAAAATCCACGCCTGTTTTGGGTACTTGAAAATTTTTCTTTAAAAAATCCACGCCTGTTTTGGGTACTTGAAATTTTTTCTTTAAAAAATCCACGCCTGTTTTGGGTACTTGAAAATTTTTCTTTAAAAAATCCACGCCTGTTTTGGGTACTTGAAAATTTTTCTTTAAAAAATCCACGCCTGTTTTGGGTACTTGAAAATTTTTCTTTAAAAAATCCACGCCTGTTTTGGGTACTTGAAAATTTTTCTTTAAAAAATCCACGCCTGTTTTGGGTACTTGAAAATTTTTCTTTAAAAAATCCACGCCTGTTTTGGGTACTTGAAAATTTTTCTTTAAAAAATCCACGCCTGTTTTGGGTACTTGAAAATTTTTCTTTAAAAAATCCACGCCTGTTTTGGGTACTTGAAAATTTTTCTTTAAAAAATCCACGCCTGTTTTGGGTACTTGAAAATTTTTCTTTAAAAAATCCACGCCTGTTTTGGGTACTTGAAAATTTTTCTTTAAAAAATCCACGCCTATTTTGGGTACTTGAAAATTTTTCTTTAAAAAATCCACGCCTGTTTTGGGTACTTGAAAATTTTTCTTTAAAAAATCCACGCCTGTTTTGGGTACTTGAAAATTTTTCTTTAAAAAATCCACGCCTGTTTTGGGTACTTGAAAAAATATTCTTTAAAAAATCCACGCCTGTTTTGGGTACTTGAAAAAATTTTCTTTAAAAAATCCACACCTGTTTTGGGTACTTGAAAATTTTTCTTTAAAAAATCCACGCCTGTTTTGGGTTCTTGAAAATTTTTCTTTAAAAAATCCACGCCTGTTTTGGGTACTTGAAAAAATATTCTTTAAAAAATCCACGCCTGTTTTGGGTACTTGAAAAGTTTTCTTTAAAAAATCCACGCCTGTTTTGGGTACTTGAAAAAATATTCTTTAAAAAATCCACGTTTGTTTTGGGTACTTGAAAAAATATTCTTTAAAAAATCCACGTTTGTTTTGGGTACTTGCAAAAATATTCTTTAAAAAATCCACGCCTGTTTTAGGTACTTGAAATTTTTTCTTAAAAAAATCTTCGCCAGTTTTGGGTATAATCCAAATCCAATCCACGCCTTTTTTGGGTACTTGAAAAAATAGTCTTTTAAAAATCCACACCTCTGTGGATGCTTGAAAAAATATTCTTTAAAAAATCCACGCCTGTTTTGGGTTCTACAAAAAAATATTCTATAAAAATGTTTTAAATTTATTAAAACCACTATTTTGTATTTTTCAAAACTTTTGGATTTTTTGTTTTGATTTTCAATACTGTTTTACCCCACTTACTTTCCATCGTATTTATTGTAGATTTCAATGAATATATCAAACATTGATTTGCGACGTAACACCATTTCCATAAAATTGCCAAACATTGGAACGGGTTTGGCATAGGGAATACCACGCTTCTCAAAGAAGTCATAATTCGCGGTGGACCAACGATAGATCAGATACACAACCACCGATAATAATATTGCGAATTCGACCCACATTGTTGTTCTTTATTTTATTTTTTTTTTTTCACAATTTTTTCGCTATAATTGCTATTGTTTTGTTATTTATCACATTCGTGGTAGCGATCACTTGCCCGTTGTCTCTCAAACTGAAACTGGGAATTGTGTGCGGAGATTATTTATTCACAAGCTATACAAGTTTGCTGGGTAGCTAGCCAGCTAGATCTCTGTTAAGCGTGTTTTTTTGTTTTGATAATAGCCAGTTGAATTTAATCAGCTTGGGGCGAGTGCTAACCGTTGTCGTCGTCTCGTGAATTGAATGCAGCGCTCTCCTCGTACTCATGAAATGCGTTTATCTTTAGTGGGCGCCAAAGCAGTGCACAAAAGCCAAAAGCTTTTTGTACCGATTTCATGTTCTTTCTTTTGTTTTTTAATTATTTATCAATTTCGCTAAAGTTGTAACTAAATAATAATTACCCCTTGTTGAGAATAGATAAGTTGAAAAAAATACAATTGATTTTTTTATTTCTATAAGGGAGTGCAAATGTTTCACAGTGGGAAAAAATACCGATCTAGCGCGCAGAAAATCAAAAAATGAAGTTGAAGGAAACTTTATAACATTAATGCAGTTTTAAAGTAGAGTGTTGAGAGTACTTAAGTCCGTATAAAATAATCCGAATTAATAAGCTAGAACGGAATAGCGGTACATTTAAAATGTTAAAAATTGCATTTTTTAGCTATAAAATTGCGATGGTCGTGTTCATTCTGTGAATATATTATTATACAATTTTGTCCATTTTTGATATATAGTATTGGTATTTAATTAAATGGTATAGTTATATAACCCATAAGTTATTTTAATTTAGGTGTTTCGGGATAAAAAATACCAATTTTGTGTAGGAAGCTTTTTTAAGGTTTTGTTCAAATAAAATTAAAAATTTGTGAATTTTTTTGATATAATTCATCAAATATGACTTGGAATAGATCACAGCATAGCAGATAAGAAAAAAAAGCAAGTTCAAAATGTCCATCCTAAGGTTCAAGAGTACTGGGTGTTAGTATGCAAATGAGGGATTTATGTAAGCTGCCCCAAACGTTGATTTTAAACTCATGCACTGAATATACATTTATTCCAAATGTGTTTCTAAATGAAAATTGAAATTACAACGAAATCGGTCTTCTAAAAGAAAGACTCGAAAGAGTCTTCTAAAATACCGCAGGTAAAGGGTCCATTTTATGAACCCTGGAAAAATATCATTGGTGTAACATTCATATATACACTGTTTTACCTATATTTATGATTTTCGTGAAGGTGGAGTTTATGGACTTTTATTATACCTGTTATGGGGTTTCCAATGACTGACATGACTTCGGATGACTTTATGACTTTGTCATACGAACTTCGTTAGGGACGGATACAGGTATCAGTTACCTATGAATGCAAAAATACATATTATTTATAGATTTTTCTACCTATGAATGAAAAATCCGCATTTAACAAATGTTCATTCATAGATTTTTCTCATGCTGTTATAAACAAGTGAATAGCGATTTATTTTAGTTCTTAAACAAGTGAATTGGAAAAATTTCAATTTTGTACAGAGAGCTCTTAGAAGTTTGGCTAAAATCTAAAAATGGTTCTGATGTAAAAGAATATATATTAAATAGACTTGGAGTTAATGCTACCGATTATGCAAACTCTAAAGGGATTTGTCGAACAGTTACCACGCTATGTACGCGATTTAAAAGGTACTGCTTTATGATAGCCTTACCGAAATTCTTGCAATTTTTAACTAGGACGATACCATAGGAGAATCCAAAATCACAGAATAATAGAAAACAGACTTACATAAAAAAAGAGCTGATTTCTTCAAAATAACAATTTTCGTAATTTCCCAAAAAAAAAAAAAATACTTGGCTGTTTGTTCCTCGAATACATTACCCAGAACCAGTTCGATGTTAGAAATATATGTTTATTCGTATCGAGAAAAAAAATACAATATTTGTTACATTTCACTGACGTCCTTGGTCGGGAAGTTTAAAGCGTGTCACATTCAAATATTGGAGTTACAGCCCAAACATCTTAGTGGAGCTTTAAAACTTATGGCTTAGGCGGGTTTTATTTTTATACACTCCACCATAGTATGGAAGGTAGGTGTTTTTAGGGCATGACCAAATTCGCTGCATTTTAGTATTTCGAGTTCTTATTGGGTAGCACATCTCTCTACTAAAAATTATAAGTATAGGTCCATTTTTTCGAGTAGCCCCCATATAAGGGTAACCATCCCAATTTTCGAATTCAACCAAATTCGCGTTCATTTTTTTTGCATCTCTCTACTAAAAATTATAAATATAGGTCGGATAGCTCCCATATAGCTATACACTCCAAGAGAAACGTGTCAAAATTGGGAACCAATTGGATTATTAGTTTGAGAATCACCGCCACTTGATGCTGACACAATAAATCGCCTATATCTTCAAGACTTCTTGAGATTTTCACGTGAAATTTTGTAGGGGCATTCTTGAATTAGTGTAGGATCAAATTAAATCAAAAAACAAAATTATATTTTTTGAAACCGAGAATCCATATAAATATATTAGGTTGGGGAAAATATATCCATTATTTTTATATGAACTATAGAACTTTATTAAAAATGCTTCGGAATGTCCGATTTTGGGCCAAATATGCAACGTTTATTGTATAATCGCTTGGTGCCAAGTTCGGATTGTATGGCGAATGCATTAAAACTTCTCAACCAAGCTCCCGACATTTCTGGCAAGTCACTGTAGATGTGTGTGGCCTAGCGTTCTGGCCGTTTCTGGCTATCTTCAAACGGTCCAGTTATCTTCAAACGGTCCAGTTGTTGACAGTAGAGATCGGAATTTTGCGTTTGGCTATATGGAAGTAATATATAATCCCATTCCAGTCCCACCAAATGCATAGTCTGCATGGCCGTTAATCCTGGTTTGGGCACCGCTTTTTGCACAAGATCGTTTTCGCACATGATTATCGTATGTGATCCATTTCTCATCTCCAGTCATCATCCGTTTAAGAAATGGATCTATCTCATTCCGTTTTAGAAAGGCTTCGCAAATGGATATTCGATCCATCCTATTTTTTCTGTTAATTGGTGTGGCACCCAAACATCGAACTTCTTTTTGAATCCAGCTTTTTATAAATGGTTTAAAACAATTTTATGAGCGATGTTACGAATGCCAACATGCCGGTCGACTGCGATCATTCCTCCGATTTTATCGACTTTTTATACCCTACACAACTATGTTGTCAGGGTAACATAGCTTTGTGCAGCCCCAAGAGTTTGTAACGCCGCGAAATAGTGGTTCTAGACCCACCTTTAAGTATACCGAACGTCATATCTCGACTAGCTGAGTGGATCTAGACATGTGTGTCCGTCCGTCCGTCTGTCCATTATTATTTGTAAACACGATACAGGCCTCAGTTATGGACCAATCTTCACGAAATTTTGCATGTAGGATGGATTCTACCCAATGAAGACCCCTATTGTTTTGAAAAAGATCGGTTAATATTTAGGGTATGAAATGGACCAAAAACTTTATTTTTGTCGGCTTTTCTGGTTGCTCCGGAGACCGCAGTTATGGCAAAAACACCGCAAATTTTTGCATGGAGAAGGAGATCGGGCCAAAGAATAAGCATGCCTATTTTGATAAGATCGGTTAATATTTAGCAGGTCAAAAGGACCCTGAAATTTGTGTGAAAAATGACAAAATTTGTATTCTATAGCGTATAGATTTACTCCTGAAGGATCTAGACCCGAGAAGTTGACAACATATTCGCGAGGAGTGGTTGGCCATCAAATTGATACCAATTACTTTGTCGTATGTACTCGGATGTGGGGGTTACACTTAAATGTTTACAGGTACTTACGTTATCAGATACTATTTAGTAACCCATTACCACACTAGAGGTCGGAAATATAGCGCTGATCGCTTTGAAATTTTCCATGAGGATCCAGGTATGGTCAAGGACAACGCCTTTAATTTCGACGATGATCAGATAATAATATTGGAATGAAGTGGACCGA